ATGTAGTGGTGGTGGTGGTGTGTAGGTGGAGACACTGACATGTAGTGGTGGTGGTGGTGTGTAGGTGGAGACACTGACATGTAGTGGTGGTGGTGTGTAGGTGGAGACACTGACATGTAGTGGTGGTGGTGGTGTGTAGATGGAGACACTGACATGTAGTGGTGGTGGTGTGTAGGTGGATACACTGACATGTAGTGGTGGTGGTGGTGTGTAGGTGGAGACACTGACATGTAGTGGTGGTGGTGGTGTGTAGGTGGAGACACTGACATGTAGTGGTGGTGTGTAGGTGTGGAGACACTGACATGTAGTGGTGGGTGGTGTGAGGTGGAGACACTGACATGTAGTGAGTGGTGGCGGTGTGGTAGGTGGAGACACTGACAGTGTAGTGGTGGTGTGTAGGTGGAGACACTGACATGTAGTGGTGGTGGTGGTGTGTAGGTGGAGACACTGACATGTAGTGGTGGTGGTGGTGTGTAGGTGGAGACACTGACATGTAGTGGTGATGGTGGTGGTGTGTAGGTGGAGACACTGACATGTAGTGGTGGTGGTGGTGTGTAGGTGGAGACACTGACATGTAGTGGTGGTGTGTAGGTGGAGACACTGACATGTAGTGGTGGTGGTGGTGTGTAGGTGGAGACACTGACATGTAGTGGTGGTGGTGGTGTGTAGGTGGAGACACTGACATGTAGTGGTGGTGTGTAGGTGGAGACACTGACATGTAGTGGTGATGGTGGTGTGTAGGTGGAGACACTGACATGTAGTGGTGGTGGTGGTGGTGTGTAGGTGGAGACACTGACATGTAGTGGTGGTGGTAGGTGTGTAGGTGGAGACACTGACATGTAGTGGTGGTGGTGGTGTGTAGGTGGAGACACTGACATGTAGTGGTGGTGGTGGTGTGTAGGTGGAGACACTGACATGTAGTGGTGGTGGTGGTGTGTAGGTGGAGACACTGACATGTAGTGGTGGTGGTGTAGGTGGAGACACTGACATGTAGTGGTGGTGGTGGTGTAGGTGGAGACACTGACATGTAGTGGTGGTGGTGGTGTGTAGGTGGAGACACTGACATGTAGTGGTGGTGGTGGTGTGTGGGGTGGAGACACTGACATGTAGTGGTGGTGTGTAGGTGGAGACACTGACATGTAGTGGTGATGGTAGGTGTGTAGGTGGAGACACTGACATGTAGTGGTGGTGGTGGTGTGTAGGTGGAGACACTGACATGTAGTGGTGGTGGTGTAGGTGGAGACACTGACATGTAGTGGTGGTGGTGGTGTAGGTGGAGACACTGACATGTAGTGGTGGTGGTTGTAGGTGGAGACACTGACATGTAGTGGTAAAACTAAGTAAGACCAAGGATTTACTTCCGGCCCTACCTTGTGGGATATACAGTGTTCCATACATCGATGCTGCATACATATGACAAAGATTAACAAAGTAATAATAAGCACTTGACAAGCGACATCTGGGTGTGTGTGTGTGTGTGTGTGTGTGTGTGTGTGTGTGTGTGTGTTGTGTGTGTTGGTTAGGGGTAGCCTAGTGGTTAAAGCGTTTACTCATCATGCTGAAGACCCGGGTTCAATTCCCCTCATGGGTACAATGTGTACGACCAAACTCATGTCTACATAGTTGTGTGAGTGTGTTTAGTTTTACTGCGCTTATAGGAACATTTAAGCAATATCACGACGGGCTTCACATATTGTATCAATGTGGGGGATCGAACCCGGGTTTTCGGGGTGAAGCTAATCCACAGTGTTGGGGGCGTGCTGGACACATGTCTGCCATATGGATTGTGACATTAATTATCCAAGGTAAGGCAAGCAATGGATAGAGAGATGACGCCAAATAGATGTCTGCCATATGGATTCTGACATTAATTATCCAAGTTGAGGCAAGCAATGGATAAAGGGATAATACCAAATAGATGTCTGCCATATGGATTCTGACATTAATTATCCAAGATGAGGCAAGCAATGGATAAAGAGATGACACCAAATAGATGTCTGCCATATCGATTCTGACATTAATTATCCAAGATGAGGCTAGCAATGGATAAAGAGATGACACCAAATAGATGTCTGCCATATCGATTCTGACATTAATTATCCAAGATGAGGCTAGCAATGGATAAAGGGATGATACCAAATAGATGTCTGCCATATCGATTCTGACATTAATTATCCAAGATGAGGCAAGCAATGGATAAAGAGATGACACCAAATAGATGTCTGCCATATCGATTCTGACATTAATTATCCAAGATGAGGCTAGCAATGGATAAAGAAATGACTGCACACTACGGAAAATTTCGTGAATGTCTTGAACCAAAGTACATCATAATGAAGGGAACACATCAGCTCCTTTCCCATCTCTTCCCTTCAAAATACGCTCAAATATATGCGGCGTCATTAATGAAGGGTCAAACTATTGGTAACACAATTTCTCAAAGGTTGTAAAAATCATTCGTTTTTGTTTGAAATGTATACAACTGAATGTTTTACAAACTTTCTTAACAGTATGGAAAAACACATCAGGCCCTTAAAATGTTATAATTACGTCCACTATATTTTGTCACCTGGAAGTCCACCCGCCACTTAATGTCAATGGTTTGCACGTGCAAGTCGCTCTATCCATGGAAAGTTGAGGACAATACACATACATTGATGCTTTTTCACTGTCGTTCACTGTTCAGCTACCTGTTTGAAATTGCATCTTAAGTTGGGACGTTTTCTGTCACTTGCTGAAAGGGGTCAGGCTAAAGACCTTTTGGAATCTGATCAAACTCAGCGGCAGGTTGCTGTGCACTTTAATGTGACTCAGAGTGCCATTAGTAGAATGTGGCAGAGATTTCAAGCCAATGGGTCCGTGGAATACCGGACAGGGTTATGGCGACGATATTCTAGCTAATAGAGCAGTACCATTCTTGCAAACTATGCATGGCTTTTACTGCAAGACGACAATGCTTGCATCCGGATTGTCGCGGAATTCCTTAGGTAGCAGGGTGAAGAGCGGATGGAGTGTCCAGCATGCTGACCAGACCTCAACCCAATTGAGCTTGCCTGGGATAAACTCTGTCGATGTGTCTACACACGTCACCCAGCACCAGTGGATGTACCAGGACTCCGCAGGGCTCTAGCAGAGAAATGGAATGCGATTCCGCGAGCTTTCTTTGAGAACTTGATAAGGAGCATGAGAACAAGGTGCACTTATGTCCTAGACGCGCGAGGAGGATACAAAAGACATTGTATGACCGAGTGCTTCATGTTTGTCATTTTCATTTTGGGGAGTTGGTCTATACAACTGATGCTTGCTAGTGTTGTTTGAACATTTGTCTGTATGTCACGATCTGTCACGTTTGTCAACACATTAAAAATTATGGTGACGCTCCAAGTTTTATTATTTCTGAGAAACCTTTATTTCTCCCTTTATTAATGACGCCTGGTATAGTTATGCGCATATTTAATGATTAAAATACGGGTGGAACTGATTGATTTCCTTTATTTGTACAAAGAAGGATTTGTATACAAATCTTGCTATTTATATAAACATATTTCCAGTAATACATAAATCACAGATGAAAATAGTATCAGTCAAGGCAGAAATAGGTAATAGATTATACCAGTGAATATGATGCATTTGTGTCGGGTATAAGCAATAAGCTACATGTTCATATACATTTCAGTTATCAACTTAAAATCTTTTGTCTATTAAATAAAACCATGAACAGATGCTAAAATCTTACGAAGAAAGTTTCCAATGAATTTCCACACCATACAGGGTAAATCCCAGATAAACTGGCACACGTATTTAAAGCTTTGAACCCAGTATATCATAGGGTACACTTCCATTGCCATTTGATCAGTGTAATGATTAAAATATTAATATTTAGATTTACGCCGCACTCAGTAATATTCCAGTTGTATGGCGGCACATCCGTGTCATTCAACGTATAATTATATTTGTATTAAAACTGCAGACATTTCCTTACTTTTAAGGTAAGGCCAGGCATTCAACAATATAAGGGAACGATGTGTATCCTTCTGGAGAGCAGGGTTATATAAACTATATTCACTCAAGGCTACAATGTTGCAGTTTTTCCTGAAATACATTAATCATATTTAATATTGAAGTCTTTGTAATGAACTGTTTGGGAATAAACCTTTTTTTCTTATTTCATTAAAATATTGACAGTTAAAACGGTTGTGGTACTCATCTCCTATTACATTTAAGGTGCACAATTGAAACGTTGCATTTTACGGAAATTACATTTAGCAATACACTGCGACTTTGGCAATGCTGTGAAAAGTTCCTGACAAGGATATTGATCATCGACCCTTTTCCAGTCCAAAACGGTAAAATGGATCATTCAGTGCGACCGGAGAGGATTTTCTCGGATGTTGGATGATATTGTATGGATAATATTGTATCAAGAACACTCATTATTCTCTTCTTAATTATACTCATGGAATAAATATTTATCATCATAATACAAGTGTTGAAATACCAATATAAAGTGATAAACATCAAATATTATATTAAAGAACAATGCTTTAGGAGCATATGTTGTGTAAACTGACTACTGCCTCTGTTTCCTCACACGATATATATTTCATTTTAACTGTTTGTTTGTTTTTATTGTCTTTTATTGGTTCCAAACATTACAATATCACAGATATACAAAGCCGTGATGCATACGGCTTAATGTAATACAGCTACCTGATGTACAGGTATGATATCAATATATTAATATAATCATATACATGCATAAATAATGAAACGTATACATGATTGTCAAGATCACAAGTAGTGTAATGTCTGTTTTATCTTATATTTGAGTACCGCTGTGACAGGTTTGGAGTGAGGACTACGAGCAAGGGCAGTGATGTTAGCAGTGAGCGATTGTTTGTGTCGAAGGTGTGCAGTATGAGAGACCATTGTATGCATCTGGGTAGTAAGCTTTGGGTCAATCAAGCAGCTTGGGGGGTATATAAAGACTGATTTGAAAGTTGTGAGTTGGCAACCAGTTGGACAGTGTATGTGTGTGTCAGGTTGGCTGTTTTTCCTGTATATTCAACTGGTGTGAGTATTATAATTTTATGTTATGTCTTAGTGAGAACAGGTCGATGAATTGTTTGTATATGTGTGGCAGTAACAGATTTTGTATATTTTAACATGTTGTAAATTGATTAGAATTCATGTAAATAAATGCCCTAAATTTCATTGCACAGCTTTAGTCATTTCATTTTATCATGATACTTAGCCTGCCTTAGCTATCACCCACAGCCAGTTTATTGAGCATGTTCACCACACAGCACAATAACATAAGCCCTTCCCCACCTACGTTCTTTTGTCTTTCCACACTCTCCATTCTCCTGTTTGCCGATGATGTTGCAATATTTGGGGACAGTGTTTTAAATTTACAAACGAAAAGTTACATTCTAGAAAGGTATTGTAAGAAGTGGGGACTCTCTATAAATACCGACAAGACCAAGGTCGTAGTGTTTAAAAAAGGTGGCAAAGTATCAAAACATGAAAAGTGGTACATTGGTAATGCGAAACTTGAAACTGTCAATTATTACAAATATTTGGGATTAACTTTGTCGTGTAGAAATATGTTCTCTAAAGCTTGTGATGTTTTATCCAAGCAAGCCGAGAAGGCTCTGTATCCAATCAAGAAATGTATCTGTACCTATAAATCAGTGCTTCCAGACATCTCTTTTAAAATTTTCGATGGAAAAATCCAACCTATCCTATTATACGGGGAAGAAATCTGGGGGATAGTGTATCGACACAACATTGAAAAGGTACATTCAATTTTTGTAAATTTGTCTTACGAATTGGTTACCGCTCACCCACAAAAGCTATTTTAGCTGAGTGTGGACGATATCCACTCTACGTAAATTACAAAGCTAGAGTAATATCATACTGGATACGGTTGCTCAGACAGCCTGATTCTCGTATTTCGAAACGAGCGTATCTCATGTTAAAACGTTTAGATGATTCTGGAGATATTAATTGGACCTCAGCAGTGCGAGAGTTATTGTTCCAGCATGGCTTGTCTTATGCCTGGTTGAACCAAGACGTAGGTAATAAAGAATTGTTCATGTGTATATTCAAACAAAGATGTAAAGCTATTTATTATCAAGAGTGGTCAGCTACCGTGACTGCTTCCAAATATTTACGCACATATTCAACCAATAAACTTGATATAATGCCGGAAACTTACCTACGAGTCTTGCCCTCGGCTCATCTGCGTAGAGCACTGACCAAATTTCGATGTGGTATTGCTGGTTTTAACATACAATTATACAGAAGATCGAAAAGTGCAGATATCGCAATCGCCATGTGTCCACATTGCCTTAATAAATTAGAAAATGAATATCATGTATTACTAGAATGTCCATTGTACAAAGATCTACGGAAAAAATATCTATCTTGTTATTACTTCACCAACCCCAACTATCACAAGTTTGTAACTCTTCTGAATTCAAAATCAGCTAATATACTAGTACGTTTAGCTGTGTATTGTACAAAAGTACCATCACATACAGGTCATATGTGAATCAATGTCCAGGCGCTCCGGACTCTTTACTATTATGAATGTTGATGTACTGTTGGCCTCTTGGCCATCCATACAAATAAAATCATCTGTCTGGTCACTCCACATTCAATCGTCAGATGAGTAACATTCCATGTGGATTTTCTTAACAGATCTTTGGATCACATTCTGGATAATTTGGATATATGATGGAATTGTGATTTATATGAGAGCATTTGGGAATGTCCCTAAGCTAGTATACTGGCGTAATAATATTCAGTCAGCATTCATGTGTAATGTATAGTGGTAGTATTGTGTATCAAGTGACTGTAAAACAGCCCTGTAAACACATCATGTGTGTGTGTGAAATGTATATATCGTGTATGTGTAAAGTCTACAAGTACATGTTGTACCTTTTGTATCCAGTGTCCGGGGTAGGTGTTACCGCCCGTAAGGCTGTCCCGCCGATCGTGAGGGATCGATCCTGATATGCCGCCTGTGATGTGCCCTGTGTGATATACGTGTACACTCCAGGACGTAGATACTGCGTTAGGTTACGTGTGTATGCTACTTAACTACATGTAAGTGCCCTGTGTGATATACACGTACACTCCAGGACGTAGATACTGCGTTAGGTTACAGTGTGTGTATGCTACTTAACTACATGTAAGTGCCCTGTGTGATATACACGTACACTCCAGGACGTAGATACTGCGTTAGGTTACTGTGTGTGTATGCTACTTAACTACATGTAAGTGCCCTGTGTGATATACACGTACACTCCAGGACGTAGATACTGCGTTAGGTTACGGTAACTACATGTAAGTGTGTGTGATATACACGTACACTCCAGGACGTAGATACTGCGTTAGGTTACAGTGTGTACTACTTAACTACATGACGTACACTCCAGGACGTATATACTGCGTTCATGTAAGGACTGTGTGATATACAGTGCGTGTGTATGCTACTTATGCTACTTAACTACATGTAAGTGCCCTGTGTGATATACGTGTACACTCCAGGACGTAGATACTGCGTTAGGTTACAGTGTGTGTATGCTACTTAACTACATGTAAGTGCCCTGTGTGATATACGTGTACACTCCAGGACGTAGATACTGCGTTAGGGTACAGTGTGTGTATGTGTATGCTACTTAACTACATGTAAGTGCCCTGTGTGATATACGTGTACACTCCAGGACGTAGATACTGCGTTAGGGTTACAGTGTGTGTATGCTACTTAACTACATGTAAGTGCCCTGTGTGATATACGTGTACACTCCAGGACGTAGATACTGCGTTAGGTTACAGTGTGTGTATGCTACTTAGTGTCATACGTTAGTTCGATTCAATTTACAATGACATTTACAACCCTGAATTACTACCTACTTTGGTGCTATGTATTACAAATTTTATCTCATAAATATTCATATATGCATGTAATATTGGTGAACGTGTGTTCATTCGTCCTCCGCCTTTGTGTTCACATGCGCAGTGGGAATTTCGATTAGAAGGACATGTATATATTTCGCGGCAGTCAACCAACAAACACCAGTCAGCAGCCAGCGTTCAGCATCACCACTGTTGAAAAGGTACAATTTTAAATATATTATGTTGATCAATATTTTATGCATTACGGAATATATGAATATGCCTCTTGATGTGATTAATGGTGGATCATTTTCTGAACGTGAAGGGCTGATGTCATAATTGACAAGACATAGTACAGTTGTAGTGGTTCTCTCATCTGGCTGACCTTCCACTGCCAGAGATGGTGATATTGTTTTATTAGACCTGTAAGTCATTCCTCGACGACGATATTAAGGCCGACATGCAGTTTCTCTTTCCCTGACAACTGTTTGTCCTTCTACTGCCAGGATAGTGATATTGTTTTATCATACCTGTCAATCATTCTTTGACGATGATATTTAATCAAAGGCCGACATACAGTTTCCCCGGCAACCTGAAATCAAATAACACAATATTAAAAAGCAAGCGCTCAATGTTCAGCAATGCACCAACATTAAATCGTGTTGGCTGCACATCTCAATGATATGTGAAAACCCCGTTAGTTTGGATGACACTAAAGGCAACCATACTCTTACTACCACAAGAACTTAAGTGGCTTCCTCTTTTCCAACAAGTTTCAAGCATAATTTTATGAAACACAGTTATCCTGATAATTTTCACAATCTGCTAGAATTATAAGTTAACGTAAATATATTCTTTCTGCAGCCAAAAGTGCGAAGCCTTGTCTTTTTCTCTGTGTGGAAACATTACGATTTCACAACAATGTTCACGGTCCTCTTTGGTCTCCTCGCCCTGTCGTGTCTCCCCCCGTCGGTGCTCGGCGCCCCTGAAGATAGAGATGCCCGTATGTACAGAGTGGACATCACCCTTCCACCGAAGGAAGGGAGGGACGAGAAGGCCGACATACTGGAGATTAAAACAACAGTGGCGGGGCTAAGTGACATCAAGGTTCTGTTTTCATTTAAGGTAAGTGAAGTCATTGAATCGATGAATCACTGCGAAGACTTAATGTGGATTAGGAGCCGCACTCAGCAATATTCCAGCTATATGGTGGCGGTCTGTAAATAATCGAGTCTGGACCACCAGACAATCCAGTGATCAACAGCATGAGCATCGATCTACGCAGTTGGGATACTTAGAGAATAACCAACGAGTTACGAGTGATTACGGGAAATATGTCCCGAGTGAAATTAATTTTTACTGATTTGAAAATGAATTTCGTCAAGGACATATTTCCCGTAATTATTCATACCTCGTGGGTTATTCTATTTATTTACCAGTCTGTAATTAAACCGAGAAATCAGTATTTATGAACTCAAAGCCGCATCTTCTTATGTAAGTGTTTGCAAGTAAATCAGCTGAGCTAGCGCTGTATTAATGCGCGGGCGAAACCAAACTGCTCAAGCCTAATAGAATCGTATACGAACCACAATATAGTACCGTAGACAACGGTATGAAAAACAACACAGTTCAACAGTTTCCAAATTCGATTGATGGCGATTTTATTAACCACACCCCTTGTAAAGATTAAGATTATTTTCAACGAGTAAAATCATATTCAATAGTTAGTCGTAGATCGCAAATGTGTGGATCTAGCCAAGACTCGTGTCAGATGGTGACTGTTGCTGGACACACACAACATAGACCTGTCAGTTTGTTTAACCTTAACTTATAAAACAGTGAAAATTTGCAAGGGAACAATAAAACTCAGGAATTGTGAACCTTTTTATAAGAAGATGGAACACAATTATGAATGTTTTCAACATTTTGCTGAAACTGAATTTGACCTAGTTTTGGCTCACGTCAGTGTTCTCTACATTTAGTCCGAGTCCGGGTCGACAACAGTCAATGTTAACGCCCAAAACAGGAACAAACCTGTTCTCGAAGACGAATTGTAGCTCGGATCTTCACTGGTAGCTGAAAGTGATCCTTGCTTGTTTGTATACTCAACAAAATTAGAAACTAGATACCCACAAAATTGGAGATAATTGTGAGGAGGGTTTTTCATTTTATTTCCTTGCGTCATACACACGCTAATGGCAAGAAGGCTGTTTGAGTATGGTTTGGGCGTCCGACGTGAAACAGTTGGTAATAAATCGTAATCGTAAATTGTAACGGAAGCACGATACAGAGACTGCTAAACAGTAAAATGCATTGAATTCCAAATTCAATCAAAAGGCGCCTCACAAATCTAGCTGAACGTTCTGTTGAAGCAGTTGTTCGAGTCCTGGGCTGTAGTTGGGATAGCAATCCATGGTTTGATGACAAATGTGCAACATGTGTTGAGGGGTAGAGTGTCAACACAGACCTTGGGGAATTGACTGGACACCGCAGTTGATGCAGCTATCACGATGCATCTCAACGTTTTCGATGTGTCCGCAGACACGCCAAAACTCAACCATTCGTCAGTGACGAGTCTCGTTTCCCATTGCGTTATGTCAGTGTCAAGGTACGGGTGTGGCAGAAAAAGTGGGACCATCAATCCGAGATTTGTGTTCGTGAGATGGACAGATCTGGAGGGTTCAGCAAAATGGTTTGAAGAGAAATGCCTGCCAACAATTGATTTAAATTGCCGCCACATCGTCCAGGGAAATCTCACCGCCAAACAGTGTCGGGACCAACTTTTGATGCCAGTCCTTCTGCCATTCATGCATCTACATGGCCCTGGGCAGACATTTCAACATGCGACGTAGTTCTTGTAATGCAGTTCTGAGGCGCAACGTGTTACGTAACGGTGGTGATTTCAGCTACCAATATCATTATGTGACCATGCTATTTGTTTCAGCAGATGTTCATGGATCTTTGCCCATGGCTTTTCAGGCACTAACGAATTAATGTTTCTTTAACAGGAAATCGGGAATTCAATGGTAATTCTTGGTAAGTTCAATTACGAAACCAGTTCTGCTTTATTCTGTCTAACAAACTAGACATACATCTAATTGTTGCTTAACATACATTCACTTAATACGATATGTTACCACAATACACAACAAGGTGACTGCAAGAAGGAAATTAAGTAAAGTGTCACTTAACGCCTAAACTTCTGGCTGTTTAAATGAGACATTAGTTTTCAGAGTAGGACCATAAAGCTCAGTAAGAAAGTACATGTTGCTTGACAAGAAACAATATTTATCTTGCAGTTCTACGTGTTGACAAAGCGTGCAGCTGGCCACAGTTGACGAGCTTTCTGGCACGCAAGGGCTATGAGGTCAAGGTGACCCCAGTGTATTACTGCAGTGACTTCGCCCGGGAACTTGGTCTGAACATGACCAGGGATTTCTATGATACGTCTCTCGCGGATGATGAGGACTTACTTCTGGGCAATCAGATATTTCCTGTGAAAGGTATGCCTGGTAGAGATTTTGTGTGTTCCGTTTTATATCTATGGTTGGAGCATCACTAAATGCACCTACAGCATGATGTGATACGCCGACGGTAGACATATCCCAAGATGTTGATATGGGATTTGGGTAAACACGGCTGTCGTTCAAAGCAGAGTAGTCGATCCCCAAAGCCACCAAAGAACTGAAATACCTTCTGGCAGAAATATTTTATAGCACCTGCTCATCGTTCCTTGATTGCTTCTTAAATGATACTTCTACCTTGATGTAACATACGAGGATTGATATACTCTTCTGTTTATGATGCGTTTGACAGTAGAAGGTACACACTACAGTCAAAGGTATTATATATTTGATCAAACACAACAGATTAAAATTACACAGCTTCCGTTAAATTATCAACCTACTCAATCTGCTTTGATAAGTTAGTGTCCAACTCCTATTCCAGAAACATAACATACAGACATTTGTTTTTCTGTTTTCGTATCTGTGACCTGAAGGCATATAGTGAAACGTGTTGAAACTGACATGTCCACCGCTCCCCCCAGAGCTTTTCGTTCAAAGATCTATTCCAGGTTTGACAACAGCTGAGTATGACGAGAAGCTGAGACAAATGTTTGTGAGAGACATAAGCATCCTGAACGCAGGTCAACGGGCGGCATGTTTCAGAACTCTAGCAAGTCTTCCAGTGGAGGTAAACCTTCTGCAGTAATCCTGTACTTTAGTTTCTAGGTTTGTCTTTGAGTTTCTAATTTCCCCACTAGCGTCTTTCCTCATCCCATGTACATGTTGTGCTATAAATGAAACCAAAGTGGAGTAAAACTCATTTCACTTACTCGCTTACTGACTCGAGTAGTACCCATGAAGATCCGGGTTAAAATTGATCTTCAGTAACCCATGCTTGTCGTAAGGAAGACTGACGGGATTGGGTGGTCAGGATCGGTGACTTGGTCGACACATGTCATCGGTTCCCAGTTGCGCAGATGTATAAATTGATGCTGATGCTGTTGATTACTGGATTGTCTGGTGCAGACACGATTATTTACAGACCGCCTCCATATAGCTGCAATATTGCTTAGTACGGCTCGAGTTCATTGTATAATTAGGTTACCATCGTTGCATTTAATTGTTGAATTCTACACCTTTTTTTTGGATATAAATATAACCCAAAAGGTGTAACGTCTAGTATACTAGAGCAATGTAAGCTGTACACTATGAATGTGCCAGCACATTGTGATTATCCCATAGCACTCCATGGCACATTATGATACCAGAATGCCATATACAAATGAGAGGTTCCTAAACCAGTAAACTAATTGCCTACTGTTTGCCTAAGGTGTGGAATGTTTACAATGTGATCGTATAAACAAATATTACCTCACTATTGTTTGCTGAAGATACTATGATGGTTATCGTTCTCAAAAACATTTTGAAAAGACTTCGTTCTCTGCCGCCATTTCAGCTGATGCACTTCGCTCCAGTTGGCCAGCAGGCCATGGAAGCTATAGCGGAAACCCTGCATGCACCTGATACCTTCGATATGGAAATCCTTCGAATCCAGAGGCTCGACCACTACACTGGAGGATGCAAGTGAAAAGATATAATTTCAAATGTATGTTAAACTGGCAAAATAAAGATGAAATATAATAGTTCTCTATCTACTGTTCAACTCTAAAAACAGATAAATTTAAGACACTTATGTCTAATGAATACGTAATGATATTTCGCTGAACAAAGTACGGCATTCCTTGCTTTTCCGTGTAACAAGTTATCTTCTGTGGGATGTTCAGTTTTTGAGTTATTGACGACCAAAAAATAAAACTGTGCAACATGAAATGTTTCTTTTGAATTGATTTGTGTCACTGCAATGGATAAATAAACGGGCACCCGATATCAACATTTTCATACATCTTCATACAGTTAATTGTCGAGCGTAGCATTTCCACAATTCTCTTGCTTCCATTGCCTTCTTTTTGTACCATATTAGATTGGCACTACCTTACCGCAGCCTCCATAACTGTTATTAATGTGTTTCCCTGGAAATTGAAACGATGGCGTTACTTCTGACAATATTTCTGGCTCAAGTATGTGGGCCATTATCTGGGATAGTGCAGTGGAAAACAAACATCATCTTAACTTGTTGGCATTTAGAAGTTGGAGCACTAAGGGTGGATAACAGTATATGGATGAGTGAGTGAGTGAGTTTAGCTCTACACCGCACTCAGCCATCGAGTCTGGACCAGACAATCCAGTGATCAATAGCATGAGCATTGATCTGCGCAATTAGGAACCGATGACATGTGCCAACCAAGTCAGTGAGCCTGACCACCCGATCCCCTTAAATATATTGATGAACTATGTAATAAAGAAGCGTTGCACCTACTGTAATGAAGTTGTTCATTCATTGTTATCCATCGTTAAAGAGTACCGTCTCTATATTCAACAAGCATAGCACGATGACTTGGTACAAGGTTATCACTGACTTCAATAATCGAGCGTTATATATGTTGATACACTGACACCACCATAGCCTACTCTCGTACCTGGTTCAATCTTTAGATGTAATTACATCCATGTATATGTAAGCTGTGGAGCGTTTTATTATTCCTCTATTATGTGGTAACAAGAGGAGTAAGGCCAAGGATGTACTTCTCTGTCCTACCTTGTGTGACTATCGGGTGTCCCATACAACAATCCTGTATACATATGTCATAGATTGACAAAGTAACAATAAGCACTTGACAAGCGACATCTGGCACGAACGGGGGCGGGGAAGGGGGTAGCCTAGAGGTTAAAGTTTCTCCCCCCACCCCCATCCCCCACACATGGGTACAATGTGTGAAGAACTGCAGTCCTTGTTCAGCTGCGTTTAGCGGTATTCCTGCAATATCAGGGCGGGGGAGACCAGAAATGGGCTTTACACAGTTTACCCATGTGGGCAATGGAACCCGGGTGACGAGCGGCGCTTGAAGCATGGGCCAGCCCCATCGCCCGCCTCTGCTTACTAGAAGCGACATGTACCTGGTTAATACAAGTTGGTGATATAGCTATTACTTTCACCTCTGAAGACAGCAGGCTACAGCAACGGTAAGGCTATGTGCCCGTCATATGTGAACAAAATAATGCTTTAGCACACCGAGAATTACTCATTTGGTAAAGATCAGCATGATCACTTCATTAAGGAGAACAACCCACTCAGACAGTTGGAATAAAACCCATAACACTTCACATCAACCAATTCTCCTTTTATGCTTCGACAGGGTAAAATAGGGTACATATACTGCACATTCATGCGTGTCATTCTCCATTACGTTTAGTATTAGTATATTTGTCTCCTAAATCAATAAATGTGACCTTCTATGTCGAATATGTTTCACACATGACACACTGTTAAGGTACATATACCATATGAGCACACGTTGGGTGTTGGGAGTGAGTTGATGAGTTTTTAGTTTACGCTGCTTTTGGAAATATTCCAGTAACCCCACTGTGGAGGACACAGGAAATGGGCTCCGTGCATTGTACCCATCAACCAAGTTCCGAGGACATATGTTTATACAGTCAAATCCTGATGAGTCGAATGCTGGTGTCTCGAATATTATGCATAACTCGAAGTATCTGTCGGTCCCGACCATTCCCTGTTATAGTTGTCATCATTTGAATACCAGTTACACGAATTCGTCTCATAAATACACACGATGACTCGAGAAGGAAATTTGGTCCCATGAGATTCAAACAACAGCAATCTTGTATACATAAGCCGAAGTCCGTCAATGAGAAGTTGATTGGTGTAGCAAACTGATCCAATTAACAAACCAGCGCGGCTCACACCTTTCCGCCATTGACGGGTGAGTTCAAAAAGGCAGATTAGTGATTTTATGGAAATCACTGTCTGTGCTAATCAGACTGGAACTGATAAGGTGCCCCTATTAGTGATATGGAAATCATTAGATAAACAAATGCTTAGGCGGAGGAATTAGGACTGGATCATCTTTTTTTTCTACCCCCATAGACATACCTATGTCTCGAATACATCGATAAGTCGAATTTATTACTTGGTCCCGACTCATCGGGATTTGACTGTAATTTAATGTAATTGTGTTCAACCCCGCACTCAGTATGCGGCGGCGGTCTGTAGATAATCAAGTCCGGACCAGGCACTCCAAGAATCAACATCATGGTCATCGATCTACACAAGTTGGGATACGGTGACATGTGTCAACCAAGTTACTGATCCCAACCACCCGATTCCGTAAGATTCCTCTTACGACAAGCATGGGTTGCTGAAAATTAATTATAACCTGGATTTTCAAGAGTGATTTTTCTGGCCCTTCTGAAAAGACAATTGTACAATTTCGTTTATGTCACAAAGCTGAAGCATATATATGAAGATCCATTCTGGAATTGATAGTTTTCCAGAAGTAAAGCAACCTAGTTTTATCATACATGAAGTGTAACATCACGTAGCAGGGTATAAAATGGGAAATAAATGACCTACAAATTTCGACTGCAATAACTCTATCGCCCGAAAGGTTTGTTGTGTCTTTATGGTGCTGATCAATCATTAATAATGTAATTTACGGTTTTATGAACATTTTCATGGTCAGGGCTTGTGGTATTATTTCAAAAACATTTAAATCAATCTATGACGACGATGTATGTGTCGGTGTCCTTGATAGCATGAAATTGATCCTGACAGTTTTATATTACATGATGGTTCACGAATGAGTCCTCGCTTCAGTTGCAGACATTGCTATCAGCTGCATGTAATCATGTGTTATTGTGATTATCAACTATTTACCCATGTTAATCTTGTTATCAATGCACCTCGTGGTCAGAGTTGGCGAAATTGTTTCGTTCACCTCTATATCAGTCTTTGACGGCAATTTTCGACAAAAAGGACAACACACAGGTTACCTGTCCACGGGAACCTGAAGTGACACTTCACAATGTTGCAAGAAACTAGCTCCACATTCGTATGATGCGGACTCGTCTTGATTTAGTTCCTGGTTGTGTATCGCCACACTCAGCAAATTCCTGCTATGTGAAGTTAGCTTCTGGGCCAAACAGTCCTGTGGTCTGACACAAACCCAACGCCATAACCTTGGATGTCACGTACCCGGACACTAAAATCTGACTCTCACTAAAATAGCTTTTTATTAAATAATAAAGAGACACCCCCAAAAAGCTATTCAGCTAGTTGATTTTCTAACATACTTACTTACCAAAACAAATGAAAATGTCCCGAAGTCTTTTGTCTCCTCCAAAAGGTTGTTCAAGTAAACATAAATTTCATTCTCAAGCAATCATCACCAAATCTTGGACAAGTTGTCAAAACCCTTCATCTTAACACACTCTTTTGCTCAGTCAACAAAGCGTATATATATTTATTATTTATTTTACTAGTTCTGTATTTAAATCATATCGATCTGAAACGTTAATCAGCAAATAAATTATTTATCGGAATGATTGGTAATAATTAAATAATATATAATTTCTCTACCTTCAGTAAAAGACAGGGTTCTTGAAAAGTATATTTTCCAGTGAATTAATTAAAGGCCGTGTTATTTCCGTTTTATGTCAACATGCCTTCCTCCACGTCAACAAACTAATGTTGCCGCAAAAATTCGTAACAGATAATGTTCTCATTTATAAGAAATACACTTGTATTTCACTCTGTCAGATATTCCAGTAATTCACCATTCTTCTTTTAAGATTTGCCCCTTCTTCTTCTCCTTGAGGGATGCTTCAAGTCGCATGGAGGCAGGTTATTTAATACCATGTCCCACCTCTTCCTATAAATTCATGACTATCTAAAGCGTGATTTTGCAGGCACTGGTGTGAAGTCATCTGAGAGACTTTGCGTGATAGGATTCTTGACATTGGCTATTGTCCAGTATAAAAAACCTGTTACTCCTCGATTATTATTGAAACTAAAAAGAATATTGTTACGAGAGTGTGTGTGTTATTTTACTTTGTAATATCGTTGATTGAGTGATACTTATTATGGGTTACGATGTTTAAAGTTTTGAGTGTGGGTTTTGGCTTACATCTTGCATCATATATTTTCTATGGCAGTAGTATTTGTAGCGGTACGCCTTTTGAGACAGCGTTTCAGAGTTGCCTCCCTTGGCTGGCTGTTCATCGTGTTGACTACGTCATGTCATGATATAGGATAGTGATACACCCTAACTTTACTAGAATGCTGGAGAACTGTGTAAGAGCTATATAAAGGCTGGTTATTGTGTTTGGAGCGGGACTTTTTTACATGACTGGATTTGTGTACATCTGTCTGCCATCGCCATCGTCTGACTGACTGCTCGTTTATATTCAACATATGTCATTGTAAACCACCTTCAATCAGTATATGTCCTCACACTGTAAATGTCAAGACTCTGGTAATTAATATTTTATATTTCGAGCCAATATTTTAAATTTGTGACGCAATTGCATTGTACTAGATATCTGTATTGTAATGCATTGTATTTTGCTCATTGTTTGCTCAATATATTATTGAATATTTTAGACTGTGTTCTATTTGGCTGGTTCAAAGGGGACCTTTAAACCTTTTGTCATGGAAAATTATTAACCGTAACAAAATCTGAACATCTGTGACAAACTTAAGAATAATGAGGGCACAAAATCCACCATAGTGTTCTTTATTGTAACAACTGTGTTATTTCGATCGGACCTAACCGAAATCAGATCGCTGTCAGATGTATTGGGCCACAGCTCCCCAAAAGACTGACTGACTGACTGACTGAGTTTGGTTTTACGCCGCTTTAAGCAATATTCCAGCAACATCACGGCGTGGGACACCAGAAATGGGCTTCACACATTGTGCCAATGTGGGGATTCGAACCCAGCTCTTCGTCGTGACGAGCCAACGCTTTAACCACTTGGCTACCCAACCGCCCCGAAGACATGATGATGTAGATGATGATGATGATGATGATGTAGATGATGACGATGATGATGATGATGATGTAAAAGAAGAGGAGGAACAAACACGTTTGTAGTTTTCACATGCTATTTGTTTTCATGTACTGGCAATCAATATGCAGGTGTGCTAAAGTGTGAAATTCGTGCAAATTCTCACTTGTGAGCAGACATGCGTTTCAGGAAAGAGGCATCGATATTTAACTGATAATGATACCTCTACTGGAACACTTGCTAGAGTTCTGAAACATGCCGCCCGTTGACCTGCGTTCAGGATACGTATGTCTCTCACAAACATTTGTCTCAACTTTTCTCGTCATACTCATTTGTTGTCAAATCTGGAATATATATTTGAACGAAAATCATGTTTCTGGGAGAGCGCTGGAAAGTCAGTTTCAATATGTTTCACTATATGCCTTCAGGTCACAGGTACGGAAACAGAAAAACAAATATCTGTATGTTATCTTTCTGGGTGCAGTTCAACTAACCGATCTTAGCATTACGTCAATCATAAACCCGTAAAATCCCAATCCCAATCCCAAATGACCCCTGTTTCCATATTTAGACCTCTAAAAGTACCGATTCTTTTGACGAATGAATTGTATACAACCCAATTACAATAAAAACAACAGTATCTTGTGTAACCCCCTCAACCTAGCCCTAACCACCACCGTTGGCTCAATGTAGCCCTAACGACCACCGTTAGTTCAAAGTCAGCACTAATCCTAGACTCCAAGAGTTTTCCTTAAAAACAATACAAAATAAGGCCAAAGGACGACTCCTTCTCACTTTAGACCTCTAAAAGTTCCCATTCTTTTGACGAATGAATTGTATACAACCCAAATACAATAAAAAACAAGAGTGTTTTGTAAAAGCCCCAAACCCTAGCCCTAACCACCACCGTTGGCTCAATGTAGCCTTAACCACCACCGTTAGTTCAATGTTAACACTAACCCTAGACTCCAAGTGTTTTGTTTACAACAAGACAAAATACGCCCAAATGACCCCTGTTTCCATATTTAGACCTCTAAAAGTATCCATTATTTTGACGAATGAGTTGTATACAACCCAATTACAATCAATAAAAACAACAGTATTTTGTAAAAACCCTAACCCTAGCCCTAACTACGACCGTTGGCTCAATGTAGCCCTAACCACCACCGTTAGTTCAATGTTAACACTAACCCTAGACTCGAAGTGTTTTCTTTAAAAACTAGGCAAAATAACCCCAAATGACGACTCTTTCTCACTTTAGAACTCTAAAAGTATCCATTCTTTTGACGAATGAATTGTATACAACCCAATTACAATAAAAACAACAGTATTTTGTGTAACCCCCAACCCTAGCCTAACCACCTCCGTTGGATCAATGTAGCCCTAACCAACACCGTTGGCTCAATGTAGCCCTAACCACCACCGTTAGTTCAATGTCAGCACTAACCCTAGACTCCAACTGTTTTCCATAAAAAACAAGACAAAATAAGCCAAAAGGACGACTCTTTCTCACTTTAGACCTCTAAAAGTTCCTATTCTTTTGACGAATGAATTGTATACAGCCCAGTTGCAATAAAAACAAGAGTATTTTGTATAACCCCTAACCCTAGCCCTAACCACCTTCGTTGGCTCAATGTAGCCCTAACCACCACCGTTGACGAATGAGTTGTATACAACCCAATAACAATGAATAAAAACAACAGTATTTTGTAAAAAACCCTGACCCTAGCCCTAACTACGACCGTTGGCTCAATGTAGCCCTAACCACCACCGTTAGTTCAATGATAACACTAACCCTAGACTCCAAGTGTTATCATTAAAAACTAGGCAAATAACCCCAAATGACGACTCTTTCTCACTTTAGGTCTCTAAAACTACCCATTCTTTTGACGAATGATTTGTATACAAACCCAATTACACCCGTAAATAGCAAGATTGTATACAAATCCCTTTCGTGTACAAATAAATCAATAGGTTCCACCCGTGTTTTAATCATTAAATATGCGCATAACTATACCAGGCATCATTAATAAAGGGAGAAATAAAAGTTTCTCAGTAATAATAGAACTTGGAGTGTCACCATGATTTTTAATGTGTTGACAAACATGACAGAGCGTGACATACAGACAAAAGTTCAAACAACACTAGCAAGCATCACTTGTATAGACCAACTCCCCAAAATGAAAATGACAAACATGAAGCACTCGGTCATACAATGTCTTTGTATCCTCCTCTCGCGTCTAGGACATAAGTGCACCTTGTTCTCATGCTCCTTATCAAGTTCTCATTTCTCTGTTAGAGCCCTGCGGAGTCCTGGGATATCCACTGGTGCTGGTTGACGTGTGTACACACATCGACAGAGTTTATCCCAGGCAAGCTCAATTGGGTTGAGGTCTGGTCAGCATGCTGGACACTCCATCCGCTCAGCATTGTCGTAATGTAAAAGCCATGCATAGTTTGCAGGAATGGTACTGCTATACTAGCCAGAATCTCGTCCCCATAACGCTGTCCGGTAAGATTACAGTCGACCACGTGCAGTGGAGGACATTCAGTAGGAGTTACCCCTGCCTAAACCATGACCGACATCCCGCCAAATCGGTTATGCGTGGCCACATTTGCATCTAAGATTTGCTCTCCATTGCTACGATAAATCCTCTGCCGACCATCATGGAAGGACACATTGAATCCGGTTTCATCTGTGAAGAGCACAGGAGACCACTGACGTTTATTCCAGCCGCTACGATGTCTACTCCATCTCAACAGCGCTTGCCTGTGACGTGGTGTCAGCGGTGGACGAGCTGCAGGTCGCAGCGGAGTCCGGCTGCCCTTAAACATCAACGAACGGTGCTCCCGGATATCCTTACATTGCTAACACTGAAGTGTTCAGTCTGAAGATCTGCTGCGTTAAGGAATCTGTTATGTAACGCAGTGTTAATCATGTGGCTATCATCTCGGACTGGTAAAATGAGATATGAATGCTGCAAACATTTTGAAGTTGAGATAAGTGACTTACCTTACCCCATGATTCATAAAATTTTACTTTTTTTTGCATACTGCAAGTGTAATTGGACTGAAGGTCTTGTAATTCTGAAGAATACTTTGGAA